GTACACATTTTTAGTCTTAGTATGATCAATCTATAAAATAAAAATCAACACTAATATTTTAAATAAACAGTATCAACTAATAATGTAAGAAAGTCAACATTAACATTTTAAATAAACCTAAATTGATATTTGTAATCACATTAAAATAATATTACAGTAACTGCTCAAAGTGACTTCCTTGTTCTTAAATGCAAATTTTTTCGAAAATTAAAATGAAATTTATCCAATAATTGTGCATTACCTCCCATAACAATAATTTAATTTTCTGTTCTTTCCCATTATTCGTTTTCTGTATTTACTGAATAGTTATTTACGTTACAAGGTCGGGAAATAGTATATTAAAGTACAAGTCTAGATGTTTACGGACGAGGCGACGAAGGAGCCGAGTCAGGAATTTCTAGACGAGTACTTTAATGACATTTCACGGCCGTGTATCGTACAACGTTTTATTTCATACTATGTTGTATTAAAAATGAAATTTCAGTGTTTTATTTTACATAACCTGCCTGTATGTAGGTGTTAGCGTGGTTTCGATTCTTGTTTTATCGCATAGCTTTTGATTTAGCTTAGTGATGTAAAAACAAAAATGACAAATTTGACACTTTGTCATCTCGTGCGTATTTTGTGATAATTTTCGTAAAAAATTAAAGAAATCGAGCTAAAATGTGCTGAAGCAACCAGTAAATTGGTGCCTACGAAGTCTTCTGCTCGTTATGGGAAGGAATACCAGCTCTTCAACGTGTGTTTTTTTAAAGCAGTCCGGGAAGTAAAAATTTTCCGGACTCAGTACTGTAATGAGTTATTTCCCGGACTTAAATGAGTCCGGTGAAGTAACTCATTACAGTACAGTATGAAATAAAAGTTATAAACTGTGGTCCTCAACGCTCCCCAAAGGAAATAATTACAGGGTTTAGATTCGGGGATCGAGGTGGACATTTTAAAGGGGCATTATTTCCTCTACCTATCCACCTGTTAGCATAGCAACCTATAATAGTTGGTCTTTTAATACTCTATTAACGGAACTTTTCGAAAGCCAATCTCTGCCGCTAAACGCCTTTTATTTGAGGAATTTCTTCGACTCTTTCCAAAATTTGTTCCTCCAACTGAATAGTTCCGGCCGTACGTTATCCACGATTTAATGTTACATGTAAAAAACGTCTTGTTTCCCGAATGCGTCTCTACGCATTAGCAAATGTTTTGTGATTTGGAATTCTTCGATTAGGAAATCTTTGAGCATATGTTCAAACAGTAGCACAACAATTTCCTTCACAATGACCCAAAACTAATAACATATCAGTTTGTTCAGCAAATAAAAACAAACTGAACCTTTTAATATCATTGTAATGAATTTGTTTCTTTGTTATATGGCACCTCGTACTAGACTGTTCTAATTATCTTAAACTGATTTTATATTATTAATGTGTAAATTTTACTCGAAATCCATAAACAATATCAAAATCTTCTAAAATAGTGCTTATTTTAAAAAATATAAATTCTGTCGTCATTGGCGTACACACAAAAAAGTTATGGGATAGCCACTGGCGCAGTCACTAAAAAGATAACATCCTGTATATGTATTCTCACCAAATTCTATATTTACATTGCCCTTATATAAAAAAATATGTATACCAAATTTGAAGTTTCTCAGAAAAACAGTTTTCAAATTATTTGAAAAAAACTAGGTTATCTTTCTATATTTAGAAGGCTATATCTCAGTAGGAGTGCATTGTTTATAGGTAAGTTAAGCTAAATAGTTTTATATTCATCCAAGGAACCTGTGGTCAAACGTTGTCCATCCTTTTCAGGGACACCCGTAATTTAATGGTTGTTTATTACGGTTTTTTATTAATTTTTATTACCGTCAACTTGGGGTGATGTTGGACAGCAGGGGTGAAGGTGGACAAACGGTAGTATTAAAAAAAATCCCTACCCGGTAGGTGGGGGGTGAACATTTAACTGATTTGGCGGCAGAAATCGTGAAACAACATGTTCTGTTTCACTTGGAAACCGGTGTGGGTATGAAGGACGGAGGTAAGTGAGTGTGATTTACGAAAGTATTGCATGAAAATTTGACATTTTCATAAACTTTTTCTTATAACTACTGTAGCTACAATGTGGCTGGCGGAATATCAACCTTTTTGTCTGAGGAGTAGCACTATTGTATGAGTATTAGTCGTGGAAATTTTCAATTACATTTTTGTAAAAACAGTGGAGTCGGGGAATTTTTTTTACATTGTTGTCTTATTCCAGGGTGAAGTTGGACACCCAAAAAATGCCCCGAATATTTCGAAAACCGCTTGGCATGAAGCCAAATTGTAATTACCCCGCCAGAAATTTGGAAATGGCAGTAAAAGAAGTGAAAAATAAGATTTTAAGTGTCAGGGGTCCAGCTGAAAAGTGGAATGTTCCAAAATCAACACTTCATAATCACGTTAAAGGAATTATAATAGTTTTAAATAAGTTTTTAAATAATGTTAAATATTTTTTCTTATATTTTTTAAAAGAATTTGAAATTTTGTTAATGATAGTTTTAATAAAGGTTTAATACACATTTTTCAAACTCTATAAATTTATTTTAGAGTAAAACTGAAAGATTTCCTTTTTAAAAACAATTTTTATGTGCAACTCGGGCAATAGACCGTTCCGTAACTGGATTTCCATTGATTTCAAGCTATGTTCAACTTCACCCCTTTTTGCCGGGTGAAATTGGACAACCGTTATCAAAAAATATATAAAAAACTAAAACAAAAATACACATTTTAATTATACCACACAATAGAATACACCTTGGCCTACCTACATGATTTTTTTCAGAATTTTTGACATACCAGACCCGGAAATAGAGTAAAATAATCGAAAAATTCGTCCAGCATCACCCCCGTTGACGGTACGGTTTTTTATTAATTTTTATTAATGTTTTTAATTACTATTTTTTATTACTGTTTAATGGTTTTTTATTACAGTTTAAATTTATTTAATTTGCTGTTATTGTTTAAATTTAAAGAATAGGTTAGTATTAGGCAAAAAATTCAAGACACCTTTTTAGTTATAAAATGTTAAGCGAGTCCGAAAATCATAAAAATTTTATAAAATCCATTGGCGTTCTACATTTTTTGACGAAAACATCGACTGACTCACGCCTAACTACGCCACTGGCGGCAGATAAAAAATCTTTATATGAATTAAAAATGCAGCTCTTTACCAACGTACAATAACTGCCAAATTTTAAGAACCTAATATTAACTGTTCCAAATTTATTTCAAATATTAATATATTTTTAAATTTTCAACACCCTGTATCTCGGAATCTAAGCGTTTGCGGCCACATGTTTATAGGAACTTTTTTTCTTAAAATACCATAAAAAATTGTGTCCTGCAGTTACGTATCGTGTTTAGGAAACACCCTTATATTGTCTTTCATCTTGTATTTGTTTCACAGTATTTTTATCATTTTTTTGTTTACTTATGCTATGTTTTATTATTACTTTACTGTTTTTACTATATGTATAGTATTTCTAATCTTTCTTCTATTTCTTTATTATTTCTTTTTAATTGTAATAATTATATGAAGGTTTCTATTCATCTTGTAATTGGACTTACTAACGTTGGACATAAATACTTAATAAACTGTAGTTATTTTGTAGGTTTATTTGTAAGATTTAGCGGGCTATAGGTACGTACACCAGTTGGGTGTACTGCAGACGGTAACTTTTCTACATTTCACGCTAATTGCTGGCGTAATGACTTTTGAGCCTGATTTTCAAGTGCCAATCTTGGACTTGGTCAAGTTGCTCTTAAGCCTTGTTCAACGAGTTTCATAATTATCATTCAACTGGGTTGAGAAATAAGGATTTAGAATCGGTTGGGTGTCGGTAATGTGTTCCCTTTGATAAAACAAGTTTCATATTTTAACTTACTGTTGATTTCATTTCAATGAAAGCTGTGAAGTAATACTGCTATCCGTTGCAGCAGCCAGATATTGGCATTAATGATTCAAATTTATTAGAGACCGTTCAACGACCCCTGTATAATTTTTCCATAAATGAGTTATTAAAGGGTTGTTATGAGGGAGCCGAGAAATGCTCCAGGATTTATGGACGTCATATTTCACCTTAAATTCGGCCGGTGACGAAGACTGGGAGCCAAGAAGCCTTACAAACTTTCAGGGAGTTGTTAAAAGTTGGCACCGTCTCACCTGGGCTTGAAAATGCCGAATTACGATGTCGACATTTGTCAAAATCTGCAAACGCAGGAATTTTAATGAAGTTTTTGCAACGGACCAATCAACAAAAACTACAGTTGAACTGAGCAGATGATGTACGGGACGATTCAGGAGTGTTTAAACCGTGATATACCACAATATGGAATCAGGCTTTAAAATCAGTGTCATTTTGAAAGAAAAATTGCTGGTCATGTAAAAAGGGGAACTGTAAATATTGAAAAATGTAGATAACTGAAGTATATGACCTTGGAAATTTAATTTTCGAAAATTTGTCTATTTAGAATACAGCGGAAAATCTCTTTGGTTGTTCTAAACTTGTTGGTATCCTCATAAACATGAGAGAGTAGAGAGTATTAATCTAAAATGTATCTTAGTTTTCTTTACATTTAAAACAAACAAAAAAGGTTGTTTATAAAAGCTGAAAGCAAACAGCACAGAATAAGCGCAATGCATAATTAAAATTTATACTGAAGCTTCCGGGTTCGACATCCTACAAGACGGAATAAAAAATGTCATCTCTTTCCTAAATTAGTTCTTTGTTTTCGTTCCATATTCTTGACAGCAACGAGGGTTTATTTGTAAAGCTCGAAAAAATTAAACTTTTAACTAATAAAAATGACTAATTTTCCAAAAATGGTAAAATAAACGTTTCGAAAAATTCTAAATAGAGATTGCCACTTTTTGTTTAAATTTAAATACCCCCTAGATTTCATTCGTTGTTATATTGTGAACATTTTTGTGGTTTTTAAGTAAAAATGGAATAATATGAAATATTTTACCTGTCTGGCCCTTGCCTAAGGTTTTCTCTAGCCTGTAGGGCCCAACATATTGGTGCACCTCAGGGGATGGGTTGGAGTTCTCCTTCTGCATTTTCACGACTTGTACAACCCCCCGGTCTCCTGTCACAACCTCAAGATTTTCCTCACGTTGTAGCCCAAGACTGCCAGCACCCGGTACACGGTTCTCTCAGCCATTTTGCTCCGCCACGATAATTATTAAACTTATTTCTTATATAATTTCGATTCCAGTCTACTAACTGCCGAGATACTCTACTTCTGAGGGGGTACAGGAATTTTTCTGGAAAGATTCCTTTATTATTATCACATTTCTCAACAGACCTCACTAATACATACTTTTTTTTCTAAAGACCCCACTTCTGACGCCACTACGTCGCCGTTTTAACGTTGCTTATTTTCGGGTGAGTTTTTTCCGCACCACCCAGGGCGATTTTCCGAGCATTTTCTCAGCTTTCCCGTACCGTAAACCGAGTATGTACAGAACGAGACTGGTGAGGGGTGGCCGAAATAATCAATAGATATGCTGGGAACTCTCACGGGGTGAAATTTCCCTAGTTGCGGGGAAATTTCGAAACGCCCGCCTTGGAAAATGTCTCCGCGGTGATTTCGTACGATTTAAACAGTTATGTTTGTTTGCGATTCGTTATAAGTGCTCGATGGGATTTGCTAAGTATGGTTGACTTGGATTATTTGTTTGAGAGATTAGGAATGGACGAAAGTTAGATGGGGTAATCCGTACGGTTTCCTAAAGAGGGTAGTTTGCCTATAATGATGCTAGGACTTCAGTAGTTGCCTTTTGACGCAATTAGAGAAATTCACGGAGTGAGCGACATCTGTTTGTGTATAGCTAAGTCACTGTAAAGGTGACAATTCTTGGGCTTTACCGTGCCATATATTCTATTTCTCTGATTTAAAACGGCGACATCACTTTTGACTTGCTTTGTATATTTCAACAGCGTTTAATAGCAATAAATATTATAAAAAAATGTATATTTGTGAATAAACACTTTCGAAATAAATTATAATGGAGTTTTATGTTTATTAAAATGAAATGCTTACAGCATTCATGTTTTTGGGATAATTTATGAATGACACAGCACATGTTTACTGAATTTATTAAAATATCATCATTGCAAACAGTTGTTTGATTACACGAATTTCCTTAGAAATACATCCTGAAACTCCTGAAAGAGATATTTATGAGATATATCACCATCATCTAATTAAACAAAATAGTGTGTTCAGCTTCAGATATTTTAAATAAAATAAAAAATAAACAGTGATGCACAATCAGGGAGATATTGGAAATATTTTGTGACAGCCACCGCCAAAGATATTCTTCCTTTCATCATAAAACATTGCTCAAATAAATACTCGATAGATGTCAGCAGTTATATTTCGTTATCTATAGTTAGTAGTGAAAGAAATACAGGCGTTATTTAGAAATTATTCCTCAGACTTTCCTACCATTATTGTGAAAGTTATCGAATTCTTTTTTGAATTTATCTCGAAAGGGGAAGTTGAGTCTGTCAACACCCCATATTTAAATAAGTGAAACATATTCCATAATAGTAGAATGTTAGAACGTCGGAAATGCAGTAAATTCATGCCTGGTGTGTGGGTTGATGACAATGCTGACGGGTCAACATTAAAACCGGATTAATACATTTTTTAACGCAACGTAGTTTGGCGTTGGCATTTGGCAATATAGCTTCATGCTGAGAAATGTAAGAATCTAAAAGGTGGTCCATCCACTTCACTTCTACAATCGCGTTTTATATCTTTCTTATCTTATATTCTGATTTCTGATTAGCAAGAACATCATATTACATGCATTGGCGTATGCGTATATTTTTAATATTTAATATACTACCTTAATATAAAGCTCCGTGGCGTGAGTTATCAGTAGTTGTATTCAGAGACTTACAATTAAGGCCTATGTCAGATTATAAAATTTTCATCAAATTAGTTGCATCGAAATAGTATAAAGGGCGTAATTTTTCCGTCACGAGTGTCACGACAAATTCGATAAACTCCCAAAAATTAAATTATCCAAACTCTTTTATTAATGATTTTGTCTATTCTGATTCAATGAAAGACGGTAGGAAACAAGGTATCCTTCGAAAAAATCAACTGATAGCTTTTGTTGCCATTCATATTTTGATCAAACACATTTGATCCACATACCTAAAATTGCATTTTTGGGTATGTGATTTGATAAAAATTTAGTTTGGCGCAGAGATCTTCAGTGATTTAATCAAGAAGTAATGTTTAAATATTGACGTGTATGCTACATTTTAACACGGTTGAAGAATTATTATGTAACGATTCATTAATTCTCCATTACCCGCATAGATGGCGCTACCATGTTTTCTCGTCAACTCGCTACGGTTGTGTTGCCGCGACTCGACTTGTAGCAGGGTCTGACGAGTGGTAGGTATCGCTTCTCGGCCTCTGGCTAAGATCAAAGTGTAGTATCTGTTCTTATCAGCTTAATATCTGATACGCCCCGCATGCGGGGCCAGTATATTAAACTGATTTTTGGAAATTGACGGAGGTTAGGGGCTTGCTCCACCTCTGTCGCGGGTTGGCCCGGTATTGCAGTACCGCCGGGATCGGCCCACATTTTATATAATTAAACAAAATTTTACTAGTGATGGAAGAATAATCGAATGAATTTAAATAATCGAGATTCGAGAGGTTACCGTTCGAATTAATTTTATAATCGAATGATATACACACTCCGAGTCCGAATCATGAATCGGCTCAACTGCTCAAAATCGTGTAGTTTTTTTGCAAATAGTACAGTTCTTCTACAGTTATAGCACATATCTAAGTTAATAGTAAGGTCCGACAAATTCATAGGGAATTCATTTGGAATACTTTGGATCAAGTAATCCAAAATTCATTGGAAAAGAATAATCTTTTTCTTCAAGCGTATAATAATACTTATATTATATAGTGCAACACCTCCTTTAGAAGCAGCCTATTGTTTAACTAGTACAAATATTTTTCATTTTTTAACTTGTAAAAAAATGTAACAATGTGTAGATAAGTATCCTAGCAACGAGTTAAAGATTCAAGAAGCTTTGACGTTTCATTAAGTGTCAGTTGAAATTTGATGTCGCGTTGGGTCGTTTTTAAAATGCCTGAAGAAATGCAGTGCACACCACCAGAATTACTGGAAATTGAAATACATCAGTGGCAACACTTATACCAACAAAGTCGAGAAAAATTTATGAAAATGCTTACGATAAATTCATAAATTGGGCAAAAGAAAATAATGCACATATTTATTCAGAAAATGTGATGATAGCATATTTTACAAGATTATCCAGAACACTGAAAAGTTCAACTTTATGGGCGCAATATTCAATGGTAAAATCTAAATTAAACATAATGTAAATATTGAGAAATATTCAAAATTAATTACATTTTTGAAACGACAAGGTGAAAATTATAAACCAAAAAAGTCGAAAGTTTTGTCTAAAAAAGAATTTGACGAATTCCTGAATAAAGCACCTGATGATAAATATTTAGCAACCAAGGTATGTACTTTTTAAATTATAGGTACTTAGATATATATTTAACCTTTTTATATTTGTAATACAAAATTTTGTTATAATTTGTAAACTTCAAGTTATTTTATAGTATCCATTACGAGAATAATAAACAGTTTTCGGAAATAAAGATAGCTCATTGGAAGAATGTTGTAAAAACTCATAAATATAGATGTCTTAAAATTACGTCATGTTTTAGAATTTCCTTGCATTTTCCAACTTTTTTTATTGTTACAAAATTAATAATTCTATATTTTTTAGGTTGCACTAATATTTGGAGTCACAGGAGCTTGTAGATGCGATGAACTCATTCAAGTAAAAGTTAATGATGTAAAAGATTTGGGAAATATAATATTAGTAAATATTCCCAATACAAAAACTAAAAAACATCGTTCATTTACCATAATTGGAGAGTTTTATTTAAATTTATACAGAAAATATGCTACTCTTCGGCCAAAAGACATAACTTTTGATAGATTTTTTATTAAATATCAAAATGGCCATTGTCATTGTGTTGTAATGGGCATACATAAAATTTCAAAAGTGCCAAAAGATGTTGCATCATTTTTAAGGTTACATTGATACATTGCATAAGGATACATTGAAGATTCTGTAAACAATAAGAAACAGATAGCGATGAAAATATTAAACCCATTAGAGTATAATGAACCAAGTACATCAAGCAAAACTGTAAATATTGATCCTAAAAATAATTTAATCGAAGACTTTTCTGTTAATAATGGTACAATTGTTAACACTGAAACTGAGAAGCTTATTACAAGTAACGTATTCAACGACAGAACTGTAAACTTTGAAAAAAAGACAGCCAGCAGCGCTTTAAATATCAACAACTGTACCATACAAAATTGCACATTTAATATTCATGTTAATAAATAAAGTTTGATGATAGACATGTAGGTAATTTAGATGTTTATTCGTTTAATTCAAATTAAAGAAAAATAATTGTTACATTTGTTTTTTTATTCATGAATAAAGTGGTTAAAACTGTCATGTTTAATTAATCAATAAAATGTATAAAATGTATAAAATAAATAGTATTACCTACCTACTGATTTTATTTTGTGCTGAGATTGAACATCGCGTTATCCGCTATAAATTTTCAAAATTAGTAATTTTTTATATTCACGCTTGAAGAAAAAATAGTATATGTCACTCGGAGTGGAAGGCTCATTATGTGTTTTGCCCAATTTGCTCAGCCTCGGCTAACGCCTCGGCGAGCAAACTTTTGGGCTCAACACATAATGATCGCCTTCTACTCCTAGTAACATAATATACTATTATCCCCTTTCCAGTTTCCTTTCTTGATAGCATTCTTTCTCATATAAAAATCAGTTTCAAGGATCGATGAAGTGCTTTTGTTTATACAAATTAGTTCCCATTCCCACTAATTTAGACAAAATAAATGACAGGAATTCTAAGCAAATTTATTGAGCCTATCTGTAAACAGTACTCTGCTCTATTGGGCATTGAAAAAGAATCAATGAAAATTAAA